ACGTATTTCAATAAGGAAGGATGACAAAATATTACAAAAAAGTTCAAAGAATTGACAGGGAGAAATTACGACAGATTCAAATTTAAAAATAAATGGGATGAATTGAATGAGTGGAAAATTTAGAAGGAGCTCAAACGTAGATCTACCGATTTGGGTTGGGATCCCATTAAGCGGACAATTGATACCTCAAATGAATGGTGGGCTGAGAAATTGGAGGTAATATTTATACTCTCATTTTGATTTACATTATTTTTTTTTCTAATAAACCCACTTAACCCCCTCCTCCATTACAATGTCACAGGCAATACCGGCAGCGAATAAATATAAGCAGTGTGGAATTGAGTCGGACTTTGAAGAAAAACTCGATATAATGTTCAAAGAGATCGAAAGCTTGCATTCAACCATAGTGAGATGGGTTTTGCAGGCATACCAGGGGACTTCCCGCGTGAGCCGTTGAAAGCTGATGAAGAAGTTGAAAGCTGATGAAGAAGTACATACATAGTATTAACCAGAGGGAGATGGGGGAGTCCAGTTCACTTTCAAAGAGACTCAGGCTTGGTAAGAGGAAGAAAGAAAATGACACTTGTGTGAAAACCTCCTTTAATCGACCCATAGATACTTTTGGAGCTCCACCACCTACTCCAGTCCCTGACAGCACCATCTTATAATTTCTAGAAACTTTAGCTTCTCTTCATAAAGTTGTTGCAAACAGGCGTTTTCATGCAAAGTGTGTGAAAAAAGCTCGAGGATCCAACCCGTACGCAAATATTCATGGCGCTGCAGCCATAATTGCGCGTCGAATATTTGCGTGTTTTAGTGGATGAAAGACTTTTTTTGTGTTGTTATTTGTAGCTTTTGTTGCATTATGGACTTTTAAATGAGTAATTTTAATATGTTTCCCTTTGTATGGACCTCCGAACCCACGTAGTGGGATTAAGGTTTTGTTGTTGTTGTGGTCGTTGTTGTTGTTGTTGTTGTTGTTGCCCTTTGTATGGATCTTTTTTTAGTGCACTTCTAAATGATTTGTGCTTGTCAATAAGTTAATCTTTGTCCATTTTTATTTTAAGGGCTTCATGTTTTCATTGTTTATTTCTTGCTCCTATTATGTATTAACAATTGTTGAAATAACAGACATTTATTTTCCTTAAGGATGGATCCGCAGCAATAATGTCGTAAAAGAATGGAATAAGCTGCAGTTATTGCAATATTGTTATTGGAGTATTACCGATCCAGTAGTGTTTGTATACCCCGTATGACGTTCAGCTTTGTTGGGGATAAATGGGTAGGTGAGATGTTTTCTGGACATCCAATAAGGTTCAGCAACATATTCCGAATGAGTGCACCTATTTTTATGGATCTACTGCATGAGTTATCTCTGAATCATGGCCTCCAAGGTTCTTCTAGAAAGACGAGATGAGAGATGCTAGCTATAACATTATACATTCTGTTAAAGAACGAATCAATTAGAGGTGCTATGCAGCGATTTCAACATTTATCAGAAACGAGAAATTGTTACTTCTCCAAAGGCATACAGACACTTATTAGTTTGACAGCTCAAATCGTCAAGTCAGATGATCCATCATTTGCTAGTACTCCAAGACAAATTGTCAACGATCCCCGTTACATGTCTTATTGCAAGGTAACTATTGGTTTCTTTACGTTACTACCAAAATATAAATATTTTCTAACACTATAAAACAGAACTGCATAGTTGCAATTAACGGTACTCACGTCAATGCCCGACTACCCAGCCAGGACAAGGTTGCGTACATTGGTCGTAGTAGTTCAACTACTCAAAATTTCATAGTGGTATGTGACTTCAACATGTGTTTTACTTTTGTAATGGGGGCTGAGAATGGAGTGACATGAGAGTCGGATTTTCTCCTATGCAACTAGGAATAAATCACAGTGTTTTCCCCACCCGCCTTCAGGTATAATTTGATTTGTAAACGTACTAGTTATATGTATTATTTGTCATTAACAGTATCTTCCATAACAGAGAAATAATATTTGGTTGATGTTGGATATTTTATGCAAAGGGGTTAGTTGAAGTCATATTCAGACACTATATATCATATTCCTAATTTTGAGCGAGCAAGTGGCACCATCCGTGGCAGGAAATAAATGTTTAGCAAACGTCACTCCTCTTTACACGGGGTAATTGAAAGAACTTTTGGGATTTAAAAGAATAAATAGATCATCTTACGTGATATGGCGTCGTATATATTTCAAAAGCAGGTGCATATTGTGGTGGCAAGAATGACACTTCATAACTTCATCCGACGACAGCCTTCACGTTCAGACACAGACTTTAGTATGGCTGATAACGATAACATGAATGTCTTTGAAGAACCATCAAAATTTGTAGTTGGGCCTTCAGTACCCGATGATGAGATTGACTCGAATGAATTTGGGGTTCATGAAGCTGAGGGTGTAGCTGAGATGACTGCTTTGAGGGAGACTATCGCAGATGTTATCTATGACAGCTGATCCATCAAGTTTTATTTATTTCGTACACTATAGGTTTATTTTTATCTACATTTTTCTTTTCAGGATCTGACAATTTTTTTTTGCAGCTATAGAAACATGACTTCTAGGATTTCGGGGACAAACACAGTTGTTTTGTGTTACTACGGACTACCTGCTCCGTTATTCACGTCATATCAATCTCACAGTAGTGGGAGACAGTTCTACAATTGCCGCAAGGGGACACCAATAATTTTTTTGGGCAGCTATAGCAACATGATTTCTAGGATTTCGAGACATAGTTGTTTTGTGTTACTGCGGACTACCTGTTTCGTTACTCACGTCACGTCAGCCTCATAGCAGTGGAAGTCAGCTCTACGGTTGCCGCAAGGGTGTTTCTGTTCGTTGAGGTTTCTTCCGATAGGCTGATAGTCCAACTGTTACACTACCAGCAATGATCGAGATGCGATGATTTCCCATGTTGACAATGCAGCTGAAGACAGACGTAGTCAGAGTTTAAAATTGAATATTTTAATATTTCTCATTATAGTTGTAATTGTATTTATTTTTTTTATTTCTTCTGATACTCACGAGAGTGTGAGCATTGTATGTCATCTTTTTGAACTGATCTGTGGTGATTTCAAGCTTCCGTATTATATACTTCTGTTCTCATTTTAGTTTTGTTGCAAACAGTTTCACCAAATAAGGGCATGAAGGTCATTTATTCAGGAACAACTGTCAATAAGCTATTATGAATAAACTGTCTCAAACAGCAAACCAACTTATTATGATAATCTGCAGATTATCAGAATAATCTACTTATCACCAGATTATAAATAATCAACAACTGCCCCAAACAGACCCTTAATTTTTTACGTGAGCTCTATAACACTCATGTTGAGAATAATTGACTCAACTAACACATTTCCAAAAGCTCTTAATGCTGCCTAAACTGAAGCTGACATCTACTACGATAAGATTTAAAAAAATGAATAAATTATCCAAGTATCACATTTGTTTATACAAAAAAATTAAAATAGAGAAGCTCCAAAATAATTACATAATTTATGGTGTTTACTTATTAAGATAAATAGGCTAAAGCTGGCCAAAAAATTGTAGAAAAAAAAGATAGAAATAGGAATTGAAAAGATATATCAATGTAGAAGTATTCGTTGATGATTACGTAGAGTGAGTCAAAAAAGAAAATGATAGGATTAGTAAGTAAAAATTAAGAGGATAAATTGAGAATTAATTATATTAATGGGAAATTAGAAGCAAAATTATCAAAACATGATGGGTAAAAATAGATATAGATGATTCGGAAATTATAACAAATATTAGAAAATATAACATTAGACAGATAAAGGTAGCGTCCAATGAATAGGAAGAAAAGTAAGTTAACTCGAGGTAACACGAACAAGATTGTTCAAAAATATTTGCAAAAAATAGATTTAATACATCATGTAACATTCAAAATGAACCAATAGAATATAAGGATTCATATATCTGAGAGTAAATGGTCTAAAAAAGTTGAATGATGCTTACGATAATAATATATCAGAAGTACAAGCAATCAAGCCTCACATTGCTCTAGCTTTTCAACAATAAGTGAAGAAATTGAGCCCACTTTAGTCCCAATTGATCAATGTGTCCTAATTAATGATACAAAGGTCGGGTTTGGTTGTGTTCTCAAATTGGTTGACAAAAAGAAGTTTGTTTTGTCTCTGGCGGCCTCGTCCATGCTTTGGCAACTAGATTGACTCTCATGGTGACACCCATAATAAATAGTAGATTATATAGCCCTCACCACTCACCTCAACAAATTTCAATTTTTGCTGTGGCGGTATCAAGCTTTAACAAAATGATACTCAAAAAAGTGGATGAGACAATATAAGTTTCTGGAATGGAATCACGCTGTCGCTTCTTGATTAATGGATTCCATCCCTTCTTAAAACACAAAACCTGAATGTGCAAAGCACTCTTTTCAGAACACTCTTAGACCAAGATATCGCTTTGGCAAAAAAAATTAAAGAATCACAGAGATCTGTCGATGTAATGGATTCAGTCAAATATCAGATAATTCAAAGAATAAGTTAGTTTATATGTGCCAGCAATGGGCACTCGACTATTTGTTTATGCACAACAATATATAAAGTCCTTACACCAAAAATATTGTTGTCAATAAGTTTGTGAAAACTCTAAATTTTTTAATTGTTTAAAATCTTGCATTAAGCACTAAAAAAATGAAAGAGAACTAGAAATCATAAATCAGAATGCAAATAGTTAAATGAGGCTAGTAATTCAGTTTAATTTCCATTTAGAAGTAATGGGACGAAACTATAGTGCAAAAATATCAAAAAATTAGTACCTTAGCAGCGATATGAAGAAAATTAGCAAATTTTTCTACTTGTTCCTTTTCATCAAAACCCACTGGAAGTAAAAAAGCACTTGCTAATCCTAAGTCCTAACAAATACAGGAAACCAAGCGTGTTAAGATGGCAATGGCTTTACTTATCCGGCTAGTCACAATTCACCTTGCGGCTTCTTGTCATCGTTTCTCTCCCCTGGCACGTAATCCCCGCTATTGAAAAAATCCGTTATATCTTCCATTGTTTCCTCGCGAATCCCCAACCTAGGGTTCCTCGGAGCCACCCTTCCACTAGACCGCTCACTCGGGTCCTTGAGTACCACTGCCTCTCGTGGGAATCGCTTCGGACTATCCAGCACAACCGGATTTAGCTGTGACAGCTTCATCTCTCGATAGGCCAAGTACTCCTCCTTATCCGGTACGGGGATTTTCTTCCGCGCCTCCAATCGGCTTCCGAATTTCAGCTGGTGCGCCATCTTCCGCTTCTCTTTCTTCGTCAAGTTAATCTCCGCTACAACCTCTTTCCACTTCTCTGGAACCAAGCTGTCGGAATCTCCAGCAGAAGCCGCCTCAGAATTCGAAATCTTCCTCTTGGGCTGCTTGAGCCGGCCGCTGAGGACAGGATTCTCTTCCTCGAAAGCACCCTCTTCGAAAACAATACAGTCGCCGATGGGATGATCATCATCGTCGTCTCTATGTGGTTCTTCCGAATCACCAATCGTTCGTTCTTTGACCGGCTCTTCTTGCTTGGGATGTTGTCGGTGCCGGAGTTGGGAGTATGGAAAGGAGGTGGCGGAGGTGGTGGAAACTTGGGGCAAGGAATGAGAGACTGATAGAATGGAAGTACTGGGAGAGTGAAAGGTTTTGTGCTTGGAAAGGAGGTAGGAGGGAGAGGGGAACAGCAAGGGGCTTCGGAGTGTCGAATAGGGAACCATACGGAGGGAAGAAGCTGGTGGAAGGGAAGCCATCGAAGGAACTTGAAATTCAATAATTTTATTATGTACAAGAAGCAGACCAGAGTGAAGGGAAGACGAGGGGAGATTATTGCTTGCGGACACCGCATGTGCATTTCGATCCTGGCCAGCCATAGATCACGGTGATCTACGGTCAGGATTATTTCTGTTTTTTAAAAATAAAAATAAAAATTTTAGGTGGGGCCCACCGAAATACATCAGGACCGTGATCGGCGTCCGCCCCCAAACTGCGCGCGGATCCGCATGGAATAATTTTTAGAAGACGAGAGTGACTTACCTCATTGTGGCTCTTAATTATATATGCTTACTTTATTATGATAAAAAAGTAGTGCATTAAAGTTGTCAAATAAATATAATCAAAAAATTAAATATAATATTTCAAATTTTAAAAATAATATTTAACCTCTTTTTTTTGTTTGTTGCAAAGATTCGCTGTTAATGACTTTGAGTGAAAATTTTAGATAATTAAAATGTCGTATTTTAAATTTTAATAAATAAACTGTTATATTTAAAATTTGAGATTTAAATATTATATTCAATATTTTCAGTAGTTGTTGAGTGAAACCTCCCACCAATAATTTTTTATCATTTGGCTCGAAGCCATAAAGTGGATCTTAGAAAATTTTTAAGCGAAAAATATTTAAACTTGAATTCAAAGTAAATCAGAGCTTTGATTCAGCACCTTATAGTAAAACTAACTGGCTCGACGCAACAGACCCAATGATATCAAAATTGGTCAAATATGAGTCAAATCAAGCTCGGATCAAGTCATTAAAACGTTTTTGAAAGTTATTCAAATACATTTTGAAGGTCAAACGAATGTCGAATCTGACGAGTTTGTAGTCAATTTGAGCGTCTCGACAAAATGAATCCAATGAGCCCAATATCGCTCAATTCTGACGCAGTCAAGGCTCTCAAATGTCCATCAAACGCTGTTCGATTGAGGGAACCACTTTGGACCGTCCGATCAGAGTGCTTCGTAATTTTTCATTAATTGCACATGAAGCTTTGTAAATAAAACCTCACATCTCTCATGAGAAATAGATGAAAACTTAAGTCTTGAGGAAGAACTTAAGCTTTGAGAAAGAGCTGAAGTCTAACATCACTCATGTCACTATCGACTATCGCCGACCACTATCGACCCTGACTTGTCGGCTGCCACCGATCACCATCGATCGCCTCCCATTCCTTGCAACAAGTTCATTTACAGTCGACGTTGTAATTCATAAAACTTTGTAACCCTTTCTCACATGTGCTACGAAGGGTCTCTATAATCATCAAAATAAAGTCATTTTTTACAATTTGGTCAAGTCCTGTGGTTTTTTCACTTTATATTTTTTTCACATAAAAATTTATGGTTTCATTACTTATTGTTTTATTTTATCTTAGCCTTTGTTGAATTCTCGTGCAACATTAGGACGATAATCCATTACTCCACAGCCACGAATTTTCTAGCACACATCAGTTTGGCGTCGTCTATCTGAAGAGAGTGTTCCCAACACTAAAATACTTGCAAGAATTGTTGCATGGTCACTAGGTGAAACACTCACAATAAGTGAGCATCCCACTCTAACACCATCATTCCAGAAAGCAATCACGAAGCCAAGGGCAACAGGCCTCTGCATCCTCCTAATCCGTAGGGCATTACCCTACTGACGAAGGTGGCTTGGGTCATGCTCTTGAAGACCAAGAACGTGGGATGGATGAGTCTCAACACAGGATCCTTCATCTTCTACGCAGGGAGTGAAAACCACAACCCAATGAAACTTACTCTCCATCAATTTGGCATTCAACAGGAAATACCCCGCTCATTGGTTTCTCTCCTAATGATTAAACCATTCCTCTACTGAAACGAAACGTTAATTTTCTCGACACTACAAGTTTCACTCATCATTCTCATGCAGCTAACCCGACACCACCCCACCTTATTTTCACTTATGTTGATATCATCCTGGATGAGCTACGATGTCTGGTTCGGGAAGTGTTATCTCTAGATAAAAGTGATCACTTTCTTGCTTGCTGCAACTTCCAAGAATCCTCTCATTTGGCTGATGTGGTTCTCCAACACCCTATCCCAATGGGCTTCAAACTCTTGAACATGTTGCCTACAAAGGGGTAACTAACCCATGTAAGCATGTCGATCATTATAAAACCATCATGAACTGTGCTTCTGATGCACTTCTCTGGAAAGCATTCCTTGCGACTCTCAATAATCAAGTTTGCACATGGTTGTACACCCTCACGGGGGACACCATCAATGCCTTCACTAAGCTTATCAGACTATTCACACGGCAGTTCATAGCAAATAAAAGAATCATCAAAGATTCATCCTTCTTATCGGGAGTTTGTCAAAATGAAGAGGAATCCCTTAAGGAATATTGTTGCAGGTTCTCCACAGAAGCCGGCCAAATTCTAATATTGGATCTAAAGTTACAAAGAGGACTCTTTCTGGAAGGGCTCCATCCAAAACTTTTCTACTTATCACTGATGCAAGAGATAATTCACTCTTACACTGATCTTGTCCATCACATCGAAGCTCAAATCTCTGCAGATGAGGCCATTAGTGCACATAAACAACAATTCGAGTGATGGGGGGGGGGGGGGGGGGGGCGGGGGCCGTGAGAC